GTTTTTACTGGTTTCTTCTCAGAGTTCAAATGACAATAGCAGTGTCACTATAGTTATGAATAATACCCTAATACCTAATACACAGCTTTAAAATAGCTTTTAGAAATCACTGGACCCCATCCATCCTGATTCTATCTGACTTATTAAATGTGCTTTCACTATACTCTTATTTACTGACGTCAAGTGGGCAGTCTGATAGAGTTAAAAAGAACTCTGTACTGGGAGTCAGGAAATCAGCATCTACACTAACCAGTTGTATGGTCTTGGTCCTAGTAAAATAAAAGAGTTGGATTAGTTGATCTCCAATTAGATCTATAGCTCTAAGTAAAAATTAAAACAGAATATTTATTGTGGGCTTAGAGTTTAGGCATTGCACTTGGTCAGAGAGGTGCAGGATGAAGTTGTAGCTTTTGGTCCCTTCCCAAATCTGGTAGGGAAGACAGATTATATTCAAAGGGAATAAACAGAGTGCTCTGTTGCAATGAGGGTGGAAGAGAGTTCTCCTCAAGGTGGTGAAGAGATACACAGGCAAAATCAGAACATGCTGCTTTAAAATTCTGACCTAACACTCCTGCTGGATCTGGAGTTAAGAGAGAAACATCCATGGATCCCCCTCTACTCAACTGTTCTCTAACTACACGTCACCCTTCCCTACTGTCCCTGTCATTCACGTTTTAAAGTTCATCTCTATTATTGTTGATGCTCAGGTCAGCATTATAAATGCTAGGCTTTGGCTACACTGTCTTTCCATTTCTGGAAAGAACCAAGCTTTTTCCTAGTTCAGGACCTTTGCACTTGATGTTCTTTCTGCCTGGAATGAATTTCTTTCTTCAGTTCTTTTAATAGGTGACTTACCCTTTCAGATTTCAGTTTAAATGTCACTTTCCTACCTCCCTATCTAAAAATAGCTCTTTTCCACCCATCATGTCATGTTTATTTCTTTTCATTGCTTTCTTTCTAACTGAAAATATTTTATTTAATTACTTTTTATTGACCATTTCCTACACTACAATGTAAGGTCCTTGGGGGCAAGGATCTTATTATTATTATTGTTATTGTTATTATTATTTTTGCTAACTAGCTCTAATCCCCACAGCCTAGAACAACACTTGGCATTTAGTGAGCACTCAATAAATATATGTTTAATGAATGAATGTTAGGATCCCAGAATCCAAATAACTGGCTCCAGCAAATACTCTCAACTATTTCACAGACTCTTACAAAAAACAATCTAAGAAGGAGAAAACATAAAACATATTCTCTAATTTATCCTTGTTTCCTTCATAGTCAGAGATAAAAGGCTTGTACTTGTTTCATTTCACATTTTATCTTCATTTATAATACACCAGCAGTAATAGAGATGAACGTTAAAACATGTATAAAGATGTTGTCCCAGTCTACCAAATAGGAATTTTACAGGTACACAAAGGAGCACATGTAGGGCTAATCCACAGATCGCTATTTTTACAGAAATTTCTGCTTTATAAACTTGGTTTAGGATTCTTGCAGCTAAGTTTATGAAGGATATTTTTTTTAAATAATTTTATTTATTTTTGTTCCCCCAAAGCCCCAGTAGATAGTTGCACATCCTTCTAGTTGCCGTATGTGGGAGGCGGCCTCAGCATGGCCGGAGAAGCGGTGCATCGGTGCGCGCCCAGGATCCGAACCTGAGCCGCCAGCAGCGGAGCGTGCGCACTTAACCGCTAAGCCACGGGGCCGGCCGATGAAGGATATTGATATGTAATTTTCTTTGCTGTAACATCCTTGTCAGATGTTGGTATCAGGGTTATGCTGGCCTCGTAAAAGAAGTTGGCAGGTGTTCTCTCTTCCTATATTTTCTTAAAAAGTTCATGTAAAAAGCTTGGTATTATTTCCTCCTTACATTTTGGCAGAACTCACCAGTGAATTCTATGGCCTAAAGGTGTTTTGGGATGCGAAGCTTTTAAATTTTGTATTCAATTTCTTTAACTGATGTCAGACTGTTCACGTTTTCTATTTCCTCTTATGTTCATTTCAGAAAGTTGTGTTTTTATGGAAGATGTCCATTTCCTCTAATTAGTCAAACTTATTGACATAAAAATTGTTAATATATTCCCCTATTATCCTTTTGATGTCTGTAGAATCTGAAATGTCCTCTTTTTCATTCCTAATAATGTTAATTTGTGTTTTCTCCTTTAGTATTGCTAGAGGCTTATCAATTCTAAAGAACCAACTTTTGGATTTCTTAATCTTCTCTATTGCTTGTCTATTTTCTATTCTCTTGACTTCTGTTGTTTTCTTTCTACTCTCTTAAAGTGTAATTTGTATTTTTTTATTGTAGTAAAAAACATAATATAAAATTTACCATCTTAACCATTTTTAAGGGTACAGTTAAGTAGTGTTAAGTATATTCACGTTGTTGTGAAACAGATCTCTAGAACTTTTTCACCTTGCAAATCTGAAACTCAACACCCATTAAAAAGCCCTCCCTTTTCCTCCTCCCCCTAACCTCTGGTAACCACCATGCTACTCTCTCTTTTGATGAATTTGACTATCTTACATACCTCATATAAGTGGAGTCCTATAGAATTTGCCTTTTTGTTACTGGCTTATTTCCCTTAGCATGATGTCCTTATGGTTTGTCTGTGTTATAGCATGTGACAGGATTTTCTTCTTTTTTAAGCCCAAATAATATTCCATTCATCTGTCCATGAACATTTGGGTTGCATCTACCTGTTGGCTATTATAAATAAACATGAATGTTCATATGTGCTATGAACATAGGCATGCAAACATCTCTTTGAGACCCTACTTTCAACTCCTTTGGATACACACCCAGAAGTGGGATTGCTAGATCATATGCTAGTTTTATTCTCAATTTCTTGAAGAACCTCCATACTGTTTTCCATAGGGACTGCACCATTTTGCAATCCCACCAAGAGGGCACAAGGATTCTAATTTCTCCACCTCCTTGTCCATACTTATTTTCAGTTTTTTTTTTTTTATAGTAACCATCCTAATGGGTGTGAGGTGATATCGTGTGGTTTTGATTTCCATTTCTCTGGTAATTAGCGATGTTGAGCATCTTTTCATATGCTTATTGGACATTTGTATATCATCTTTGAAGAAATGTCTATTCAAGTTCTTTGCCCACGTTTAATCAGGTTATTTGATTTTTTGTTATTGAGTTGTAGGAGTTCTTCATATATTCCGAATATTAAGAATATTCGTTATTGGGTCGTAGGAGTTCTTTATGTAGTCTAAATATCTTATCAGATATATGGTTTGCAAATATTTTCTTCCATTCCATATGTTGCCTTTTCACTCTGTTGTGTCCTTTGATGCACAAAAGTTTTTAAGTTTGAATGTAGTTCCATTTGTCTATTTTTGCTTTTGTTGCCTGTTCTTTTGATGTCATGGCCAAGAAATCATTACCAAGTCCAATGTTGTGAGTATTTTCCCTTATGTTTTCTTCTAGGAGTTTCATATTTTTAGGTCTTATGTTTAGGTCTTTACTCCATTTTGAGTTAATTTTTGTATATGGTGTAAGGTAATGGTCAAACTTCATGTTTTTGCAAGTGGATATCCAGTTTTCCCAACACCATTTGTGGAAGAGACTCTCCTTCCCACTGAGTCATCAGGGCAACTTTGTCAAGGTCCTTTGACCATATATGCAAAGGCTTTTTATTTTTTTAATAGACTTTATTTTTTACAGCAGTTTTAGGTTCACAGCAAAATTGAGCAGAAAGTACAGAGTTCCCATATACCCTCTGCTCCCCTCTACTTGGTATATGCTCTTTTTAGCTTCCTGATGTGAACTTAGATTGCTGATTTTAAACTTTTCTTCTTTTCAAATACATGCATTTAAAGCTACAGATCTCCCTCCCAACACTACTTCAGCTATATCCCATAAACCCCGTTATGTAGTATTTTCATTACCTTTTAGATCAAATATTTTAAAATTTCCACTGATGTTTTCCTTGACATAGCAGTTGAGAATTATGTTGCTTAGTTTCCAAATACTGGTGGATTTTCTGGCCATCTTTCCGTTATTTCTAGTTTAATTCTGCTGTGCCTAGGGACCATACTGTAATTTCAAGTCTCTTACACTTGGAACTTGCTTCACAGCCCTGCCTCACAAACTTGATTTTGTTTTGTTGTGATGGGATAATTATGGTGTGTTCAGAATGTAATTTCTTTTCTGCTTTGGATATGTGTAGAGAGCACTGTGGTGCTTCAACACTGTTTTGAAACCCTAGAGCAGTATTCCACCCATCTGGAGATCCTCTAGGCTTACACTACAGTGATTAGGATGCGGTTGAAGCCAGGGTACTCTTCTGCCGCAGCATCAGAAGGCTTTTCCCCCTCTCAGAATGGCTGGGCGGTGCAACTGATCTGTGAGCCCTCTACAGCTGGGTGGAAAGTTCATGAGCTAGCCGTGTACTTTACCAAGCAACGGACGTAGCACCCTAACATTTTTTTTATTGGTCGTTTCTTCAGAGACGACAAAGCTAACAAGTTCTCAAAAACCCAGGTTCTCTCAGAAAGAGAGGGAGCTGGGAAGAGTTAGAGAAAGGTGGAAGAATGCCTCATCCTGGATTAAGAGAGCACGTCTTTTGCGAGGCCTAAGGAAGCAGGGCCTCGGCTAAGAGCTCCCCTTCGCCTCCGCAGCCCAGTGACCCACCTGCGGAGAGCGCCTCCCGAACGAACCCTTCCTTTCTTCCATCTTTCCCAGCTACTCCAACTTCCAAGGCGTAGAGGAAACGGGTGTGGCAAAAAGGCCAGTCAACCAACCGCCGGTCACGTGACGGAAGAGACGGCGAGGAGGACCTCGGGCGCCTACGTCCGCCCAGGCCCCTCCCACTCACGTCATCTCAGTGGCCCCGCCTCCTCCACCGTAGGGTGGAGCTCGACGCCCCGTCTCCAAACGGCCTCCCCTCGGAGGGCAAGGCTGGCCTGTAGGGCGGGGCGAGAGGCCGGAGGGGGCCGGTGCAGGGGGAAGGGAGGAGAGGAAGGGAGGGGTCACGTGCCGCCCGCGGCCCGGGGTCACGTGACGGGGCGCCGGGGCGGAGGGAGCTGGGGCTGGGAGTTCTCCTAAGGGAAGAGGAGTGAAGTGGGGGGGACGCGGCGGCGGCGGCGCTGACAATGGTGAGTGCGCGGCGGGCCGCGCGCTCGCCTCCAGCCTTCACCCCGGAGCGCACGGCGGGACGGCCAACGGCGGGCCTGGCGTCGCGGGGAGCTGCTGGAGGGGTCAGGCGAGCAGGGGGCGCAGCCGGGTTAGGCCTGTCTGGCCACCGCGGGGTCGGGGAAGAGCGGGCGGCGCCGCCTCTTCCCGGTCTCGGCGAGGCCCGAGCACCTGCGGGCGGCGGCGCGCTCTCCCGGCCATGTCGGAGCTTCTGCCCGGGTTCCTCGACCGGCTGTGGGGCCCCTGGCTGGGTACTCGGACCCTGCCTCTGTGGGGGCTCGCCGCTGGCTCCCCCTCCAAGGTAGCCAGTCCTTCCGCTGCTCCCGGGCAGCCTCGCTTCCCTTCACTTGGGGTGACCCCGGACTCAGGGGCTTGGTCACTCTCTTCCAGGGTGTTACGAGCTTGATAAACTCCTTGATTTTTCCTTTTTTTATCTGGGTATGATGACTTCCTGCGATTTCCTGACCCCAGTACAGCCTTGACGTTGACACTTGTAGAATAGGAGAAAAAGAAAAGGACGTTGGAATGGGGAACGTCTATAACTCGAAAGACACTAGTTTTGTGCCCGGTGGTTTAAGCATTGGCTCCCATTTTCTTCCCCAAGCCGTTTCTAGAAACTTAACGCTTTGGGATGTTGAAATGGCCTAGGGAGAGAGGAGGGAGGGAAATCAGAGTAACTAGTTAGTGGGAAGCATCGGCGTGGGCACGATGGCGTTTAACTTTGTGTTGGCAATGTCGTAAAGGTTGGGTCTCATTTGGCTCTTTTATGGTAGTATTCGTTTATTCGTTTCATTGAGCAAGCATATGTTGAGCGCCTACTGTGTGCTCTCACACCTACCCGCTTTTCTGAAGCTGTTTCAATAAACTGCTTGAAATTTCTGGCTAAAGACCAAGCTAGGTTTATTAAAAAAAAGTTACTTTAAATAAGTATATTGTAAAGTCAGAAATCTTGTTGTTTTAATAAAAAAAAAAAAAAGAGATTCATTCTTAGAGCCTTTTTTTCTTTCATTCAACAAATGATTATTTAGGTCTGCCCAGGGGCCGTGAGCAAGACTGAAACAGCCCTTGCTCTCTTGTAGCATACAATCTAGAGGGAGATAAACGTTTATTTTTGTAATTATTTGTTTAACGTGGAAATTACAGATGTCATAAATACTAAGAAGGAAGTATTGGGAGACCTTGCCTCGTCAGGGAGTTAGGGAAGGCTTCTTTAATTGAATATAATTTGCAAAGAAAACTTAAAAGGCCCTCCTATTTTTTGCTTACGTTTAAAATTATTACTTTTAATAAGCTTTTGAATTATGTTCAAGAGCAATTTATTTTCAAGTTACTTGTGAGACATAAACTAAATTGTAAAGCTTTATAACACTGAAATGGGCACAAATATATGTATGAAGATTTGCTGTTTCATTGCTTGTGTGTGGATGGGCTAAGTGAATAAATTTTGAGAGTGTCCCTTCCGCCTCACCTGAGTTGCATTTCTTTATGTCAGCTGGAGTAGTGAAATTTCTTTAGTGAGAGCTAAAAAGTTTGTCTTTTAAAGTATCCACATGTAATTTTGCCAGATGGTAATGCTCAATATTGAGTTTACAAATGATATGAAAAATCTTAAATTAACTTGAAGTCAGTAATACGAGGTTTAGGCCATGATTCGAAAATGTAAAAACAATTGCTGTGTTTTCATAGTCATATATATTGCAGTGTAGTTATTTAAACTAAGAGTTTTAACTTGTGTGTTAATTGTCTTATATTGTCTAGTATTGCTTCTGAAAACCTCATATTCTAAATGCTCACTTGAAGATATCTTTTCCAGAAGTACTATGTAGTCTTTGACTTAAAAGATGTCAAACTGCCTTCTGTAATTTCAGCAAAAGTCTATGTTTTGTAGACTAACCCTCTTTACAATTTTTATTCCCTTTCCTTCTTCTAGACTTCACAGTCCTGACAATTCTGTATTTTGTTTCCTCTTTACATATCAGAAGTATTATAATTTGATTGTGAATAATTAAAAAAGATTTTAATTTTATGACTTTGAAATGACAGAAGATGCACATCTTGAAATAAAAACTTCAAAAGCAAGACTTTGGGTAGAGAATCTTTTTCTTTCAACTCCTTTTAGAAGGAAATCAAAAAAGACAAACTTTTTTCCTCAGATATTTTTTTCTCTCTGTTGTCTACTTGTTAAATGTAAGACATCCACAGTTTTCTGGAGGCTTGTAAGACTAGTTCATTTTTGATGTGCCTTGTGTAAAAAACTGGATGTTAACCCAGGGCTAAATTCTCATGGTGTCATTAACCTTGTTAAAGTGCTGTAATGTATTACTCAACCTATTATTATTTTGCATATGCTATTCTAGGCTTTTTTTTAATACCTTCTGATCTCTCCCAATCTTAGTGTTTTGATTGTGTTGAAAAGTACGTCTACTTATGAAATACTTCATGCATACAGAAAATAATAGAGGATAATGTAGTTGTTTCCACTAACAGATGAGTAGTGTAGGTCTGTGCCCAGGAACCGAACCCGGGTATTCTGAAGCAAAGTGTGCAGAACTTAACCACTGGGCCACCAGGGCTGGCCCAACATATAGTTTTTATATACTTTCAATGCCTAGGAATTTTTAATTTTTATATATGGTGTCAAAATAAGACTTATTGTTCAATTATAATTATGTTATTGTGAAGTTTTATAAGACTCTTAGTCTACTAGACACAATTTTAATTAGTGGCAATTTTGATTTTGTTTTATTTTTGATTATTTGATCTTTTAATATCAGCTTTCAAATCCCAAGTTCAGCTCTGTGTTAAGTATATGTATGTGGAAAAGAGTTACCATAATATTTCTTTTTATCTGTAAAACAATTTTTATAGTTTTCAGATCTCATTTTTCCTGGAAGCAGCTCTGGGAAGTATTAAGGGGGAATGAGAAAATTGAATTTCATTTTCCTGCTTCTGTTTTATAACTCAAATGAAGCAGTTGTCTTCTACCCTTTCATAATTGCTCCTCCCGCAGCAGTGCCTCCCCGCCACCTTTGCTGGCTCAGTTCTTTGCACATAGTTGATAATTAGTAAATATCAGCTGACTGATTTTGAGCTGCTGTACATTCTCATATCTGTAGCCCTTAGGAGAAAATACACCATTTTGAGCAAGTTTTGAGTTTAAAACTTGGAGTATGAAAACTAACTGGGAAGGGACAGTACATGTGACCTATCATTGATGTTTTTCATTCTCTCTTAGTTCAGAATAATTTTCTGATTAAAATTAGTTTCCTGGTTTAAAATTGAGTTTATTTGTAATGTTGGTAGGAAAGATGAAGACATCTTGTCAAAAGGAAAATTTGCTGTTTGTGTCTTTGAAGTATGTCAAAAATACTAATCTAGCAATGCTTTGAGTTGATTTCTTGAAATTAAAATCCTTTTGTTAATATAGGATTAATAAAACCAAAGCAGCAAGCTCAGAATTGAGGAAAATGCTCTTTTAATCATAGTATCACCCTGTGACCTACATAGCCTTAGGAGGATGATTAGCTTGAGGACTGTTAACCTGCAAGGGCAGAACTGAGGCAGTGCAAGTTCCTTGCTCTAGACTTAGCTGCTGCACTAATGCTGACTTCCTGGGGGAGGGCTAGTCTTACCAAATATTCCAGATTGTAGTTCATTTCTTTTGTGTATTCACTTATTTTTTATTATTAGGACAGTATGTGATTTATTTAAAATTAATTTAACTTTCAACAGGTATTTGCCTCTTACTAAAGGCTACACACTGCCTATAGCTACTGTGTCTTCAGCCATTAGCAAAGAAAAGGTATCTGTCCTCGTGGAGTTTACAGTTCACTCGGGGTGTCAGGTACTAAATAAGCACACCAGTTATAATAAATGATGAAGTAAAACTACGTGGTGTTGTGAGACCTAAATTTGGAGAATCCAATTTTGATTAGGAAGTTAGTGAAGGCATCTTTATGGAGATGGGTCAAACTGATACTCAAAGGATGAATGAATGAAGTTAAGATTCTTGTTCTAGGACAAGGAGGAGACTGGCAGATTTCATGAACTTGAATCATTTGAGGCTGGTGTGGTTGGAGAGATGGATAGAGTGAGATATACGTAGGCCACGTTGGGGAATACAGTGTGTGTCTGTTTAAAATGACATGTCATTGAAGTAAACATTAACTAAAGAAAAGTGCACAAATAAGTGTTCAGCTTGTGAGTTTTCATAAAGTGAACATAGCTGTGTATCAAGCACTCAGATAAAAACAAACAGAACATTACTAACACCCCGGAAGCTCGCTTTGTGCCTTCTTCCAACCAATTCCTGACTTCTAATACAGTACTATAATGTACGTGTTTTTGACTTTTTAATCAATGGAATCATGCAGTGTGTATTCTTTTTGTGTCTGGCCTCTTTCACTCAATGTTGTGTTTGTGAGATTCATCCTTGTTGTGTGTAGTGGTGTCTCATTCCATTTCCCACTTTATGAATGTAGACTAAAGATTATGTATCCATTCTCTTTTTGATGGATATTTGGGCTGTTTCCTATTTCGGGCTATTATGAACGTTCTCATAATTGTCTCCTGGTTCGTGTGTGTAAGAGTTTCTGTTTAGGGTAGATACCTAGGAGGGTAATTTGCTGGGTCATGGGATATGTATATCTTTAGCTTTACCAGGTAGGGCCAACTATTTTCTGAAGTAGTTGTTCAAATTTATACTCTCACCAGCCCACTGAAGGATTTTTAACAGAGAATTATATGATCAGATTTACATTTTTAAGAGGTCACGGTGGTTGTTGTGTAGGGCAAAGTAAGAAGGGATGTAGGACGAAAGGATAGGAGACTGTTCTCTGTGTAAATTTTAAAAAAGACTAGCTTTCATTAGTGACAAAAATAATCCACAACTGTATCTGATATTGGAATTGCTTGCTAATGGATTCTATATTATTACCAACTAATGTGTTTTGGCATTCATAGGCAATTGGTCTTTGTCCCTTATATTTCTGTTACATTCAGGATTTACAGAAAAAGGCTTATACCTTTTCTTTGGAAAAATTCACAGAAATTTAATTAGTCTCGTCCATTAGAGCCAGTTTTATTCCAAGGGCTTACACAATGTAACACATCCTGTTCAGACCTATATAGAAGTAGATTTACAGTAAGTAGTACATTGTAATAATTCATTTGGATTGTATGAGTTTTGCTATAATGAAAGAACCTCATAGAAGTATAACTAAAGGTAACTTCAAATCCAGATGTTAAGAATTAATTTTTTAGATTTCTGGTATGTTAGTATTTGATTATTTATAATGGTTATCTATGGAAATGATTGAAATTACAGCATGTTTAAATTTGTTTAGTTTTCTTTTTGTCTTTTTATTATTGTGGTAAAAACTATATAACATGAATTTATCTTAAGTTTTTAAGTGTATAGTACAGAATTAACTATATGCATATTGTACTAAATTTATTTAGTTTTGATGTAAAATTTGATGTAAGTTTCCTTGTGAACTCACAGATTTGCAGTCTGTTTAACTGTAGGTCATAGGTAATTAAATTTAAATTACAAAATGTAATGAGTGACAAAACATGATAATTGTGTGCATTTTCTTTTTATTTCAGAGTTTTCTTGGAGGCTTTTTTGGTCCCATTTGTGAAATTGATGTTGTCCTTAATGATGGGGAAACCAGGAAAATGGCAGAAATGAAAACTGAAGATGGCAAAGTAGAAAAACATTATCTTTTCTATGATGGAGAATCTGTTTCAGGAAAGGTAAATCTTTTGTTTGGGAGAATTACCTAGTCGTAGGATATTAGAATTAGTCATCAAAGTGCTCTGTGCTGTTTATAAAATTGAATGATTTTATTAGAGATGGAAATTTTTTTCCCAGAAGGTCAGCTAAAATCCTTGATTCATTAGAACATTTACAGGAAAGATTCTTAAACTGGAAGAGTTACAGGGACAGAGTCTAAAGTAAATTGCATACAAAATTTTGTGTTTGTGACTATGTGCATCTGTTTAGCTTCAGTTTCTCCAGGGGGGCTGCAAGTCACTCAAAGTTTGTTTCTCCTTTAACGTAAAGTTGAGTTATAGATATTGGGGATAATTCTTGAGTATACCTTTCTAAAAGTTTCTTTCTTATTCTTTGTAGCTTCTCTTTCTGTACTACTACCATTGTGTCTATTGATCTCATTTCTTGGTACTCTGTAGAGGACTTAAGTACATTTGGAATGTGTCTATGCATGATGAGATACATTTATGATACCTTCTGTAAGATTTCACTTTTTCCCCTTTTTCTTATCAAATGATGTATAAGATTGTTTTTATACCTTAGGGAATATGACCAATATTCATTAGTCTCTGATACTGAGGAATGGTAATATCATAGACAAAATCAAGCCATAAAACATTTGAAATAATTTTTTTAATAGAAAATATTAGTTTTTCTCCCCTGTTTGTTAAACTAATATATACACATGGGAGAAAGTTTGGGAAATAAGATAATTATCTATGGTCCCATCATATGGAAATCATTCACTGTTAAAATTTGGGTATGTTTCCTCCTAGTATCTCTGCATTAATTAATATTTACCTAAGTAGTATATTAAGCATATTTTTTTCCCTATTATTGGATATTTAGTTTCTATTTTTCAGGTGGCTTGTAGTATATCACCATATCTTTGGTGATACAGGCATCTATATACATATATTTTTCTCCAAATTTCTATAGGAGCATGCTATTTCCTTAGAATGAATTCCTGGAAGTGAGTTGCTGGACCAAAAGGCATGAATATTTGAAGGGTGTTAATACATTTTAAACTGGGAAATTTGCATCAATTCACATGTCCACTTATAATGGCTTGTTATACCCAAGGTAGCATTTTTAATCTTTGCTATTTTGATGGGCAGAAATGATATTATTCTTATAATTAGCATTTCTTTGGTTACTAGATAGGTTGAACTTAGGTTTATTAACCGTTTTATTGCATTGTCTACTCTGGTCCTTTGCCAAATTCTTCTCTTGCCGTCTTAGTGTTGTTTCTGAAATAAAGTTTTTGGTTTTCAACTTTTCTTTCCTGGTACTCTTCCTTTAAAAAGATGGAGAGAAACAGAAGCGCCCTCTCTCTTTAGAGAGCAGACAAAATCATCAAAAGGATGGACCATGTCAAATGAAAGAAGAGTAAAGGAAGTAGTGTTTGGTTAGTGGAAAAAGAAGACTTGTTAATGTGGTGGGGTTGCAGTGGGTAGGGACACCAATCTAGTCTTCTTTCTAGGGAGAGATTGAACCTGCGAGCATCTCAGATATTTAGTTTATAGATATGACAAGTAAGTAAATAGCTCTCCAGCGAGGTTATAAGCTTTTTAAGATCAGGGGATCAGAGTATGCTGCTGTATTCTCCATAAGTGCATCATAGTATTATTTATATAATAGGCTCTCACCAAATATTTATTTGGTTGGTTTATTTACTGTTTTTAAGTCTAGTAGGGAACATTCCCTGCCTGGCTTAAGGTAATTTTATGTCATCTGGGCCAATTAGGAGTTCATGGCTGATGTTTAAGGGATAAAGAAGAGGGGAATCTTTAAGGAAATAAAGGTACTTCAATGTGGTTTTTTAAAAATAGCTGGCATTCTGGCCCGGTGGCGTAGTGGTTAAGTTCGCGAGTTCCACTTCGGCAGCCCAGGGATCGCAGGTTCGGATCCTGGGCCCGGACCTACTCACTGCTCATCAAGCCATGCTAAGGCAGTGCCCCACATAGAAGAGCTACAACTCTACAACTATGATATACAACTAGGTACTGGGGCTTTGGGGAGAAAAAAAAGAAAGAGGAAAATTGGCAACAGATGTTAGCGTAGGACCACTATTCCTCAAAAAGAAAATAGCTGGCGTTCAAATTACATTTTTGGAATTGCTAGAGATTGTATGTAGTCCTAATCAATAACTATAGAGTACATTTAAATAAATGATAAATCTCTTATAGGTAAATATTTTCTGTTGCTCAAAAGATAATCTGGAATCTGTTTATTGACCTGATATTTTTTTCATTTTTAACCTTTTTATTGTAAAATAAAACACATATAGAAAACCACACAGGGCCGGCCCCGTGGCTTGGTGGTTAAGTGCACGCGCTCCGCTGCTGGCGGCTCGGGTTCGGATCCCGGGCGTGCACCGACGCACCGCTTCTCCGGCCATGCTGAGGCCGTGTCCCACATACAGCAACTAGAAGGATGTGCAACTATGACATACAACTATCTACTGGGGCTTGGGGAGGGCGGGAATAAATAAATAAAATCTTAAAAAAAAAAGAAAACCACACAAAACAAAAATAAATTATTATAGGGCATATTTTCTTGTAATCACCATTCAAGTCAAGAAGGAGAACTTTGCCAGCCACCCCATATGTCCCATCCCAATCACAGTCCCTTCCCCTCAAAAGTAACCACTATGCTGACTTTTATAACAGACTTCCTTGTGTTCCTTAATTGTTTAGTCTTGCTCCATTAAAAAAAAATTTATATGGCTTTTAAATCTCTTTTAATCTCAGGTTGCCTCTTCATGCCTTTCTTCTTTTAATTTATCTGTTGAAGAACCTGGGCCATTTGAACTGTCGAGTTCTCTGTGATTGCGTATTCATGATACAGTTATTGCCTGTAAATTGCCAGCAGGATCTAGAGGCTTGATCAGACTGAAGTTCTGTTCTTTTGGCAAGAATATAGGTGGTGCTGTGTTTTTTCATCAGGGGGTTCGTGATGTCTGGTTTTCTCTTCCTCTCTTTTTTTCTTTTTTGCAATTGTAACTGTTAATATTGACTTCTGACATACCTTTAGAACAGGTTATTAAATAGATGACTTATGAGCACTTTGAAAAGAAAGCTTAAAAGAAAGAGAAGAAAACAAGCATTGGTTATTTGTGATGCAGCATGGATCAGTAAGAGCAGGTCTTACCATGCCAGTCTAGGTTTTTTGAAATGTCCGAGTATAATAAAAAGATAATCGGGCTAGAGTTGGAAGATCTAGCCCTGGCTTTACCTCTGTTTTGGTAGGTAACTCTGGGCAGTCATTTAACTTTCTGAATCTCACCTGTAAATTGAGGAGGTTCGACTGGATCATTGGTTTCCAAACTTGGCTTTGCATTGTGGGATTCTCTGCATAAAAATCCTTCATATATTAGATATAATCTTAGAGACCTGGGAGGTCTGACATCCCACCCAAAGCAAGAATAAATTCCTTTTATGATATTCCTGACGTGAGCTTCTGTATGTACACTTTTTTTTTCACATTTTTTTTTAAGACTTTATTTTTTTAGAGCTGTTTTAGGTTTACAACAAAATTGAGAGGGAGGTACAGAGATTTCCCATATACCCCCTGCCCCTACACATGCATAGCCTCTCCCATTATAAAGATCACTCCCCAGAATGGTACAGTTTTTACCAAGGATAAACCTACATTGACACATCATAATCACCCAAAGTCCGTAGTTTACCTGAGGGTTCACTCTTGGTGTTGTATATTCTGTGGGTTTGGACAAATGTATAATGATATATATCCATCATTATAATATCATACAGGATGTTTTCATTGCCCTAAAATTCCTCTTTGCTCTGCCTATTCATCTCCCCTCCGACCCCCAAAATCACTGATCTTTTTATTGTCTCCATAGTTTTGCCTTTTCCAGAATGTCATATGGTTGGAATCATACAGTATGTAGCCTTTTCAGATTGGCTTCTTTCACTTAGTAGTATGCATTTAAGGTTCCTTTATGTCTTTTCATGGCTTGATAGCTCATTTCTTTTCAGTGCTGAATAATATTCCATTGTCTGGATGTACCACAGTTTACCCATTCACCTGCTGAAAGACATTCCAGTTGCTTCCAAGTTTTGGCAGTTATGAATAAAGCTGCTATAAACATCTGTGTGCAGTTTTTTGTATGGACGTAAATTTTCATCTCATTTGGATGAACACCTAGGAGCGCGCTTGCTGGAATGTATGGTAAAACCTATCTTTAGCTCTGTAGGAAACTGCCAAACTGTCCTCCAAAGTAGCACTACCATTTTGCATTTCCACCAGCAAGGAATGAGAACTCCTGTTGTTCCACATCCTTGCTAGCATTTGGTGTTCTCAGTGTTCCGAATTTTGTCCATTCTAATAGGTCTCTAGTGGTTTTTCATTGTTTTAATTTGCAGTTCCCGACAAGATGATGTTGAGCATCTTTTCATATGTTTATTTGCCAAATGTATATCTTTGGTGAAATGCCTGTTCAGATCTTTTCCCTGATTTTTAATTGAGTTGTTTGTTTTCTTCTTGTTGAATTTTAAGAGTTCTTTGTGTATTTTGGATAACAGTCCTTTATCAGATGTATCTTGGGCAAGTATTTTCTCCCAGTCTATGCCTTGTCTTCTCCTCATTCTCTTAATTGTTACATGGTGTTAATTTCTATTTCCCTGGCATCTAATGAGGTTGAGCAACTTTTCATATATTTATTGGCCATTGGATATCTTTTGTGAAATGCCCATTCAAGTTTTTTTTGGCTCCTTTTTCTACTCAGTTGACTTTTTTTCTTATTGATGTATAGCATTTTTTTGTATGTTCTTGATAAGAGTCTTTTATGCTTCTTAATATAGAGTCCCTTTGTTTATGTATGTCTTTAAATATCTTCTCCCACTTTCTGGCTTGACTTTTCACTATGTTAATGGTGTCTTTTGATGAACAAGTGTTCTTAATTTTAATACACTACAAATGTTATGTTTCATTTTTGTAAGAAATCTTTGCCCGG